CCCTGTTTGAGTTGTTCGCCGCCCTGAGTCCCTGCAAAGGGAATAGGGCGGCATATAAATAAAACAAAACTTCAAACTTCAATAAAACCAGGGACTTTCAGCATCTCAGCCCTTCTCTCTTCTTCTCCACTCAACATTGAAGCATGTGATCCACCTTTTCTGTCCAGGGCTCAAGCCATGTGGTCCTGTCCACCATTAAACCATCTTTCCAAGCAGCCACCATGTCTCCAGTGTCTTTTCCCCCACTTGGAGCCGAACCCAGAAGGACATTTCTTTCAACACTACTCACGAGAGCACCAAGGACTCCACAAACTGCAGATTGCAAGGACCAGTAATTAGACTGATGGGTGCTGTATTCAGGAAGGCCTGGACTGGGGAACAGACGCATACAACACAGGGGGTCAGAAAAGTCAAGATGGCAGTCAGAACTGTGCAATAGAAGCCCTTATGGTGGGTCTTCTTGAACTCCGCTCTGCAAATGTTCCTGGACTATCCCATCTTTGCACTTAAAGTAGGAAGATCCTGAAACTTGTGAATCTATAAGCAAGAACCTCAGTCTGCTTGACCAGCAGATCAGGATGCCAAAGGAAACGCCTTTTTGTTTATTTATTAAATTTATACAGCTGTCTATCTCACCAGAAATGTGTTGTGGCCCACCAGCAGCCAGCGGAGCTGCCAGCAGAGTCGGACAGAGAGGAGGTTGGGGAGGAACATGGGCCAATCCTGGGGGTGTGTGTGTGTTGAGGAAAGCTCAGACGAGGGCTCTGCGTCAGAGGCAGGCAGTGAGTTAGACAGCAGTGAGGCAGAAGAACAGCTGGAGCCTGTTCCCAGTGTGCACCTGCGCAGAGACAAGAACAATAAGAAAGCAGGGTCCATTTAAGAGTAAAGCCACACCTTGGAGGTGATTGGCCCCTCCCATAGGAAACAAAAGAGGAGCGAAGGGGGAGGGGGCTTTTGCAGGGTTGTGTCAAGAGTGGAAAGTTCTGTTGGTGATTATAAGAGACTCTGTGCCAAGATTTGCTCTGCCCTGTGTTTGAAAACTAGTTATCTGTCAACGCTCCAAACGAGATAAGGTGTGTGTGGATAAACATTCCTCTGAAACCCTGTTTGCTAAAGTACTCTACAGAGTATTTTAATTTTCTTAAATAAATGTATCCAACTATAGGTAGGCCTCGATTGAGGACCACAATTGGTATAGGTGTTTTGGTCATTAAGTGGTGTGGTTGTAAAGGAAGTTGTCAAGCAACCAGATCTGATTTCATGACAATTTTTACTGCAGTTGTTAAGCAAATCGTGTGATCTTTAAATGAATCACACAATCATTAAGTGTATCTGATTTTTCCCATTGAAGTGGCATGGCAGAAACAATTGGGAAGGTAACAAATCACAATTGTGTGACCACAGGACACTGCGATTGTTGCAAATATAAGGTAGCTGCCAAGTGCCCAAATCATGGTCATGTGACTAAGCAGGGAGAGCAATGGTCATACCTTTTGGGACCGGCTGTGTCACTTTTTTCAGGATTGCTGTAACTTTGAACTGTTGTTAAACGAATAGTTGTAAGGTGAGGATTACCTGTATTCCATTATTTCTTCTTGCTGTTAAGCAGTCTACCTGCCTGCCTATCCAACCCTCCTTCCCTCCTTCCCTCCTTCCCTCCTTCCCTCCTTCCTTCCTTCCTTCCTTCCTTCCTTCTTCCTTCCTGAAGAATAATCCAGTGAGATTCCAAGCCAGGAGAGAAAAATGCTGGAAATAAAAGGAAAGAACGTCTCTGTTTATTTGATTTTCGAGAAATTTCAGTGACAGCAGCATGTTTCTGGGGTGGTTGACCATTGGCTGGGTGAGTGGGTGCATTTTTATAGGTTTGGTGATTGAAATGCTCCAGGGGGGGTTGTGCAATGTAGTGAGCCTTGTGTCTTTTGCTATTCCAATGGCGACTGGGTAATCCTATTGTGCCCTAAAGGTCATGTCTTGTCCTTACAATTTAGATGGGGAAATGTAAATTCTTAATCCCATCAGCTCCAGCCTTCTGTGAGAGCTGTGGCTGAAGGCATTTTGTTTATGAATAGGATAACCTTAATAGGTACTGTTGAAAGAAATGTCCTTCTGGGTTCAGCTCCAAGTGGAGAAGAAGACACTGGAGACATGGAGAGGCTGCTTGGAAAGATGGTTTATTGTTGGACAGGGCCACATGG